ATGGGAAGCTGGCGTCGCCGGTGATGTCACGATAGCGCCAACGGAGTCACGACGGCTTCTGCGAGTTGTTCATGTTCTGTAACGAGAGGGGAAGGAGCGGGGTTGGGGGTCGTGTCAGAGCCCCATCCCAGCAGCATCTTCTACGTGCACATCAAGAAGGGGACAGAGGGTTGTAACAGAACGCCACGGCACGGGTCACTACGAAAGCACCCACCACAGAGCAGAGAACACTGTCTACCCATGGGAATTTGACAGAGACATCCCTAAAAACTGAGCTAAAAAAAAAATAGGCAACCCTCCCACCCCACCTGGTCGACACTTTTGAAGCTGCTCTTTGGTCCATGCAAGGCAAGGTGACAGAGGACTATGATGCTCATTCAAGGAGCCCAATTAAACATCTCCCTTGCTTTTCTTGAGGGCGGGCAGTGTCCCCCATGCCTACCAAGGAGGAGGTCACTGTGTGCCCATCCTTGGAACTGCCAAGAAGAGGCAGCTCCCACCGGAACCAGCATGGTGACCAACCACCACCAGGGGTACAGCAGGAGCACCTGCTCCCCCAATGACACCCCATGAGGTGTCAAGGGCCCGTGGGCTGGCAACAACAGGCACCCACCAGCACACGGTGAGGACCACAAAACCAAAGACAAACAGCTAAACACAAGCAGGACCAGCCTTGAGGGCAGTGGCTGGAGGAGAGCATCTACTAGAGGAGAAACTCAAGGGGAGATGATCACAACACGGACATTTCCCAACTTACAAAACTACACGAAACACGGTGGGGAAAAACAAGCTAGGAAACAGCTAGGAAGGTTTCTCAATATAATTTTTTTTTTTTTGCCTTCTTTTTTTTATTCAGTTTTACTAAACTGCCTCTTACAAGCACCAGGAATCCCAGTCAGGCTACGAGGCAGAGCAGGTTGAGCTGTTCTCTGTTATCTAAGGAGACAGGAGGAGGGTTAGGGAAAAGCCACATGCACCACAGCCATTTACCTTGGAAATATTAGCAAAGAGAAAACTTTGAGAAAGTGACAAACAGGTCGTCTTTAAGCATGAAAAGTGAAGGGGAGAAGAAGGGAGGGGGATCAGGCCATTGTTAAAAAGTGCACTGTGGATCACAAACCAAGCAAAAGGAAAAGAAATTGTCACGCTAGGTAGTCCCGTGACCCCAAAACCAGCTCGATCCCCCAGCCAGGAGGACTCTGAGGTACACAGCCATGTCCTCAGTCTCTCCAGCTGTCCCCTGGTCAAGATCCAAAGAGTGAGGACTGATGCAACAAAGCACCCACCACCAACCAAGTCCCATATGTAAACTGGATTCCATCTCCCTTGACCCCATATAGGTTGTGGTAGGACATAGTGAGGACCGGATGCACGCACATATGAGGCAACAGCCTCCAAGAGAGGTACTGACACCAAGTCTTTGGTTTGGGGTGTCTTCATTCCCTCAAAAGCAGCCTTTAAGTCTCACACTAGTAGGTGGAGGATGGCTCCCAGCAGCTGGAGATTTTAAACTTGCTGCTGCCAGCCTACAGCTGGGATGGGTACCATCACTGTCTTCTCCAGCAGAGCTCCTGGTCTAGCAAGACCTGATACAGCCATCTCCCAAACTCAACATTAGAGCGTGTTTTCAGTGTCCCAGCCAGCACTGAGGCATGCAGTGCTTTTTATTACAACATGGATGGGAAAAAGGTGGATGGAGGGATGGATAAAATACAAAAAAAAAACACTTTCAAAGCAACCTAAGACCACCAGGCACTTCACCAGGGGCTTTTGTGTCCCCAAGCAGCAAGGGAAGGAGCACAGACATGCAGGCCATGCTGAGCAACTCAACCTCTACATTCACCCAGGAGCATGAGTGTGATGATCTTCCCCAGCCCTTCACCCAGCAAAGCCAAGCCTGATGTTCCTAACAGTCCTTTTTCTCAAAAATGTTTACTCTAAAAGGGGAAGAAACGTGAAGTACACCAGCTGTGACGTGCAAGCAGGGCTGAGTTCTGGCCTGGCTGTTTTATATCAAATCCCTCCATCTTCAGCCCACAAAATGAACCAGGACATGGATGCACGTAAGCTGATTCCAAGAGGTCTATAGAGGACAAAAAGACCCCTGGAACTCGGCTCAGCTGCCAAAGTATCCCTGGTCTTTGAGAAGACATTTGAGCACAGCTCAACGACTGCGGCTCTCTTAACTCAATGATGTAGCACGAATTAAGTCCAAAGCTTCAAATTTATCCAGAAGCTGTCATGTCCCTATTACAGAAAGATCTAACAGCACTACTGAGCCAAACTGCCAAAGCCTTGATTGTTCATAATTAGTGTATTAAATGCTCAAGGCACCTTGCTGCCTTAACAGAGGTAGAAGAGGACAACACCCTTGCATCTACTCTGTCCAAGACATCTAGGCAGACTGTTCTCAAAATCCAGGTTTTTCAGAACTGCGGATGCCAGGACTGAGGATCAGTCCAGCTCCAGAACACACACTCCTGCTCCCACACAGGTGATAAAACCCTGGTGGGGGCTGAGGTCAGAACCTTCTCAGAGATCAATCCAGGGCCATCACTCAGACACACTCTGGAGCCCTTGGGAAGGACAGACCACATGGGTCTATCACCTACAACACAACGCGCTATCGCACAGGAGAACCTCAGGAAAATCCAACATTCCACGACTGTCCAAGGAGGAGGGAGGGAATTTAGACATCATCAATAGAGGCCAACTGATAATTTGCTTCATTTCTCAACAAAATTGGAACATTTAATCAAACTAGGATACTTAAGGGTTGGACAAAGCAGCACCCATAGCCTCCTCTGCACCTTTCCTAAAATATGAAAATCCTACACAGAGAGAAATATTAACTTCAAGAAGCCCACACGCCGGCCAGTTTTCACAGCAACAACAAAACAACCGATGGGATGGCGAGAGACATGGAAAGAGGGGGAGAGGAGGGGGAATAAGACGCAAGAAGGTACTTACAGGCATGCCTTCCCTAGTAAAGGCTGCAGAGAGACAGAGAGAATGGAAAGAGGTGTCAGTAATGCCGCGCGAGACCGGGCAGAGGACACTGGACAGCAGCGAGGGGCACCCGAACAGCAAGAGCTTCCAAACCCAAAGCTGGCAGAGGGTTTGCTGCAAGACTCAACCAGCCCAAGTAGAGCCCTGAAAGCTGAGAGGCAGACAGAGTTGCTCTGCTCGGTGCTTTGCTGGGGTGGGAAGGCTCATGAGAAGTGGCCACCAAGCAGAGCGGTTGGAGCACGGCCCCCTTCCTAACCTGCCCAGGATCTGGCCGAGAGGACACCAAACAACACAGACAACACGAAGAGGGCCTGGGCGAGACAGCGAGATCCAACAGGCAGCTGGAGGGAAGCGCAGCATGGCAAAGAGGCTTCCTATCTATAGGAACCACCCCAGCTCCTTAATGAGCACAGTGAGGGGGGTTTTGCTCCTGGAGAAGCGTGCAGCAAGGTCTCTCTTTCTATGTCCCTTCATGGGTGCATGAAAGAGGAGAGGACACATGAGCATCACAGTAGCCACCCACAGGGTTTCACCCAGGGCTGCAGAAGGCAACTGGCTTCACCATGCCAAGAGGCTTCTACTCGTTTTTCGGTCCATTTTGCCTATTTCTCTGGGAAGAAGATCCCTCCAGAGACAGGTCCTGGAAACTCCTTCTCAAGGGAAGCACAAGAAAATTTGCTTTATTACAATGCTCAGGTCTACCCTAGAGCCGAGCACATCCAAGGGGAAGGCACGAGCCCTTCGGTCCTGCCCACTCCAGAGATGCAGATCCTTAAGGGTTTGATACCCCAATGGCAGATGGTGAAGGCACTAAATTAAGGCAGCTAGAGCTCTGGAGGGTTTCCAACGCTCTCAAAACCCAAGAGAGGATCAACAACGACCCTTTGCCAGGTGCTCCCGAAACCAATCCAAAGGCAGGGAGGGACAGCAGCCGTTGGAGAAGGATGTATCTCAGACAGCAGCACAGGTTGCGACAAGCGCGAGCTGTTCCCCCAGCTTCAGGAGTGACAGGAGGACAACAGACAATAAAACAACAAGAACAACGACAAAAAAAAAAAAAGAGAAAAACAAAAAAAAAGGAAAACAAAACAAAACAAAAAAGAGTTCAACTAACTTGTCCCGGCAGCTGCGTGGGCACTTCCTGAGGAACACAGCCTGGCAGGGCGGAAGAAACAGCCACATGCTCCTCAAAGCTGTTGATGCGAGGTTTTTTGGTGGGCTCTGGGCTTGCTAGAGGGGTAACGCTATTACGTCTCATGAGCGGGTTAGGTCCCTTCTTTGCTTCCTAAATTAGAGTGAGACAAAGGAGAAAAAAAAAAGAATAAATAAAAAAAAAGTAAAATAAAAGAAAATAAAGGGAAGAAGGCGACAGTTATAAAGGAAAAAAAAAAGAAGCAGGTTGTTTTGGTTTTGTTTTTTTTTCTTTAAAGCAGCCTCTGCTTTTCCCCCACAATCGCTGTCGACGTGCAAAGGATAAACTGAAAGGCTCCGGACACCGAAAAATAAAACCCTAATGCAAAACGTTCAAGAATGCAGCGTCATTTCCCAAAAAGGGGAGGAAACCAAAAAAACACAACCCAAAAAGGCCCTGTACTCAGAAACGAGACAGACTTTCTCCTCACCTGAGCCTCTGCTCACAAAAAAGTGAATACAGATTGCTAAAAAACCCAACCCTAATCAAAAGCCACGACAGAAAGAGGTGCCCATCGGTCTCCTCCTCGAAGCCGGTCCCTCCAACCCAGGGAGGGGGGTGAAAGCAAGAAGAGGGAAGACGAGCCAGCCCGGGGCTGATAAGGAAGATTTGGGAAGTGGGGGCAGAGCAGCCAGCCAAGGTCAGCACCGCACCAAACTCCAACTCAAGCCAGGTGGGATGGAGGGCTGGAGCCGGCGCAGCCAAGCGGAGGGACCTGAGCGCTTCCCACGTGTCTCACTCCATCCTACCTGCAGCCCACCACTCTCCTGCCATCCCCAGCAAGGCTGGTGGAGGAGGACATCGATGGTCCCTGCAGCGGGGAGGGGAAGGACTGGCTTCCCCCCCTGCTATGGCCACAAGGAGGGAAAGGCGGCTCAGATGCTGCCACTTGCTGAGGTTGGGAAGTGAAGAAAAGGAGATGTGGGCCAAAAGGGGACAGCTCTGACCATTCAACATCCAGACAGGCTCCATCACCACTCAGCACAAGTTGGAAATGTCCCAGCAGCCAGGACATGATGACTGCCAGGGTCTCTGGGGTCCCCCTTGGGCAGCTGTCCAGCCCTGACACCGAGCTGATGTCCCCTGTTTTGGCCTCTGAGCTCCCAGTGGAGCACGGGGCAGATAGACCCAACCTTACGAGGGTTTTCCTCCACACGAGGGGTCTCCTCCCCACAGCATCGCCAGCCCAGCGCCATCACCTCCCACCCTACAGAACGGCACTCTGGTAGCCCCACAGAGCCATAGGCACACCAGGGGAAAAAAAAAATGCAAAGGCAGGAGACGTTGGGCAAGGTGTTGAGCCCAGGCTCTGCCAGCCAGTTGGGAGATGCCAGCTTCTCCATCCGTGGCTCCCTTTGCCGCTCAGATGAGCGGATGACTACACAGGTGAAAGTCAGAGACCGGGGAGGAGATTTCCCTGGGCCAGCTTTTATCTGGGCAAACACACTGGGAAGCAGGCACATGAAACAGTCCTTTTCCCTTGGAAAATCCTCAGCTGGTCACATCTTTGCAGATTAAGAACCCATCTGATGCCCCAGCCCTTCAGCAGCACTCGCAAGCATCCAGCTGAGCAACCTCTCCATGCCCACCCCTGGTGTCCTCACTGCCAACTGACCGTAGGGGAAAGGAGGGGGCCACCAAGGGATGGCTCTGAGGAAAAGCAACACTCACCTCTGGCTGTTCTCTGTGGGTGTTGACGGCTTCGATGTTCAGCGAGATGGACTCCACCCGGCAGCCTGCAGAAGGGAGCACGAGGAGACAGAGAGGCCATCAGCAAACTCAATGGGCATAGGATGCTACAGAGTGCTCCGTCCCAGACCTCTGCTTTTCTCCCAGAGGCAGATTGGATTCAGGAGGAGGTACAAGTCGAACCCCTTGCCATGTTTAGTAGAAAGGCCCCACTTACCGTAGGCCACCGGGGTCAGCTTCAACACTGTGTGAAGGGGACATTTCAGGTAGGGCATTTCATCTGCCGAGAAAGCAAAGCAAGAGGGTTATCCCATCCCCTCTCCAAAAACAGCCTTAGACGACATCATCAACAGCTAAGGCCATCCCACATCAGAGACACACACTCCAGGCCCTTCAGGAACCTGACCACATCTCTCATCTCCTTAGAGCTATCGATCATCCCTCCTCCAGCAGTATCAATCCTCTTCCCAGGGACAGGGAGCTCACCCGCACTCTTGTCCAGAAAGTATGCCAGGAGACAGCGCATGACAGCCTGGTGACAGATCACAAGAACGTTCTCTTGTCTCTCCAGCTCCATGATGACCGGCTCTAGGCGCTGCACCAGATCTTGGTAGGACTGAGACAGAAGAAGGGAAGGGAGATATGGCATAGAATCAAGAAAACAAGCACCTCGCAAGAAATAGTGGTCCTTGTCTTGGTCCCTCTATTGACTTCATGCCCTTGACTAAACTAAACCAACATAATTACTGCTAAAAACAAGCAAAGTTCAACAAAGTCTCATCTTCA